CTGATTGTGAAAAGGCATTCAATGAATGTAAATATTATCTTTTGAAACCAAGGCTACTAGAGTATTTTGATCCGGAAAAACCTGTAGCAATCGTGACTGATGCTTGCACATATGGTTTAGGTGGAGTGATGGCCCATGTAATCGATGGTGAAGAACGGCCTATAAGTTTCGTTTCATTTTCTTTGAATAACGCTCAAAAAAATTACCCAATTTTACATCTCGAAGCGTTGGCCATTGTCAGCACTGTAAAAAAATTCCATAAATTCCTGTATGGAAAAGGTTTCACTATTTACACCGACCATAAACCCCTCATTGGCATATTTGGAAAAGAGGGAAAAACCGCTATTTCAGTTACAAGGCTACAGCGTTATTTAAGAGAACTTGCCATTTACGATTACGAAATTGTTTACCGTCCTTCTAGTAAAATGGGGAACGCCGATTTTTGTTCCAGGTTTCCACTTCCTGAAGAAATACCTGCAAATCTAGATAAAGAATATGTTAAAAGCTTAAATTTTACTGACGAATTTCCACTAGATTATAAGGAAGTTTCAAAGGAAACCAAAAAAGACGATTTTACAAGACAACTGATAGAATTCATTGACAAAGGTTGGCCAGAACGTTATGACAAGAAATTCAAAAATGCTTATGCCATTCACCAGGAAATGGAAACCGTAGATGGATGTATTTTATTCCAGGATAGAATTATGATCCCTGATGCTATGAAACGAAAAGTATTGAAATTGCTTCATATAAACCATTCTGGTATTAGTAAAATCAAGCAACTGGCGAGAAGAAGCGTATTTTGGTTTGGTATGGATACAGACATTGAGGGATTTGTCAGATCTTGCAGCATATGTAACGAAATGACCGCTGTTACAAAACCTGCAACGTTTTCCAAATGGATTCCAACCACAAAACCTTTTAGCCGCGTTCATGCGGATTTTTTCTATTTTGACAAGAAAATTTTTTTGTTGATAGTTGATAGCTATACCAAATGGATTGAAGTAGAGCACATGCAGCATGGGACAGATGGGAAAAAGGTCATAAAAGTTTTTCTAAGCATTTTTGCCAGGTATGGATTACCAGATGTACTGGTAACAGATGGAGGTCCACCATTTAATTCAAATTTATTTGTCAAATTTTTCGAAAAACAAGGCATATATGTTATGAAAAGTCCACCATACCACCCTGAAAGTAATGGGCAGGCAGAACGGATGGTGCGCCTGGTCAAAGATGTTTTCAAAAAGTTTTTAAGGGATCCTGAAACGAGGAGATTAGACACTGATGAACAAATTGCATATTTTCTCATCAACTACAGAAATATTTGTTTAGGAACTGACGATAAATTCCCATCGGAGAGGCTTCTCTCCTACAAACCAAAAGTTTTATTAGATTTGATCCATCCAAAGAGTAGTTTTGAAAATAACTTAACGAAATCAAATGACGAGTACCAAAATAGTAATCCTGTAGTTACACCACCAGATGCTTTTGATCGTCTAAAACCTGGAGACCTGATATATTACAGAAACAATAATAAAACAGACATACGGAAGTGGCTACCCGCAAAATTTATAAAACGAATATCTTCAAATATTTTACAGGTTTCTCTTGGTGGAAAGTTGGTCACAGCACATAAACGTCAGTTAAAGTTGTCAGACTCTCGCCGAAAAACGTCAAGTCGTTTTGTTTTTCATGGAGAGAGCTTTATACAACCGCCTGTGCAGGCAGTCAGCGTCAACACAAGCACCAACACCAACGATGACATTGCAACGCATGAAATTAAAGAGAGCATGGTCACCGAAAATAGAGCTCAGAAAAGGAGGAGAGAGGATGATGAAGAAGATAATGTAGGTGTGTTAAGCTCTAGTTCCGAATCTGAGTTCTATGGTTTTGCAGCTGACTCGTTTATTTTTCGGGAGGAAGCAGCTTTCGAAGAGTTGAGACCGGAAGTACAAGAGCCACTTCGAAGATCTGGGCGAAGATTGAAGAAGAAACGCAAAGAAGATTTTTTATATTATTGAACTTAGCTTTCGAATTTTGTTTTGCAAATTTCCCTGATTCCGTATTACATTCGTGAATTTTCATAATTGAATAGTATGATGAATTAAATTTGCATTCGATTATCTATATTCTTATCAGTTTTCAAGTAATACATTATTAGAGATGAATAGTATTTACTTTTGAAGGGTTAAGGAATTGTAGTAACGTGCATAACGATTTCGATCAAGTGATCTTTCGACCAAGGAGAAGAATCCAATGTAGAATAGGAGATCCGATGGAGAAAGAGATGAATATACAAAAAGGGAAATTGAGCTAGGTTGAAGATGTGTATAAAAGGAATAGGCAGAATAAATGAAGTTTACTTTTGTGACAACTAATGAAGCAAGTGTTTTAATCCCTGTCCGATAGGGAACCGAAGGATAAAGTTTAATTATTTCAATAACATATTAAGGAAGTTCATGTGTACACTAGCGCCGCGTAGTGTGAGGGTTCTGAAATAATATGACGATCATCCGAAAGGACTTAGTCATCTGAACAACTTTGCTGAAGACAGTAACCTTCTATAAGGCCAGGTTCTAGAGATACAGCTTATACAGGAAATTCACTTGCACACTAGCGCCGCGTAGTGAGCGTGTTCTGAACTGACCATCATCCGAAAGGACTTGCTCACCTGCACAACTTTGCTGAAAAGAGCAACTTTCTATATCACCAGGCTCTCGAGATACAGTTTATATAGGAATTGCACATGCACACTAGCGCTGCGTAGTGAGAGAGTTCTGAACTAATATGGCCACCATCCGAAAGGACTTGGTCACCTGAACAACTTTGCTGCGGACAGTAACTTTCTATATGGTCAGGATCACGAAATATTCTATGTTGGAAATATGATCCATATATTATAGCGCCCGTCATAAGTAACATAAAAGTGAAGCGCCTCTAGCGGCGTAGTTCCCAATTTAACCTGAATCCAATGGCACAGGCTTGTTGGTCTAACCCAGTACAGCAACTTTGTCGAAGACAGTATAGCTTTATGTATTGAAACAAATGAGATAATCCACTACAGCCCCCATTAGTGAAAATCCCATAAGCTGTGGGTATCCTTATTCGTGGATAGCCCGGCAATAAGGATCCGGCAATAAGAGATACCGGCAATAAGGATTCCTGACTGTACACTCAACTTCCAAATGCAGAATTTCAGGTTTTATTATGCATTTTTAACAGAAATACACCAATTTGAAGTTGACCAATTTTTGCGCGTTCTAGACTTTATTACAAAACATGACAAGATTTTTGATGGAATGTTCAGATGACGATTCGATACGAAAAGCATCGAATAAGTTTTCAGAAATTTCCCGATCAGCGGCATTGTTTTTGAATAGTCCATATGCAGCAATCTTCTGGTAAGTTTGTTGACGGTAAATTTTCCGGAGATCTGCGGAATGAAGCAGTTGCAGACAAATTCAATGCCAACATTTCGAAGGGACGTAATTGCATTTGTAAACAATGGCTTTAGTTGTCGATTTCTCGCGAATGAAAGCTCACTCATGAAAATGGGTTTTTATTTGCGAGAAATCAACGTCTAAAGCCATTGTTTACAAAAGCAATTACGCCCCTTTGAAATGTTGGCACTGAATTACTGAACGACATCACCAGCTGTTTCCATTAAAGAGCCTGGATTTATAAAGAGGCGACATGTCAAAATTGGAACAATCGATTGTCTGTCAAAGTCATAGGAAAAGTCATTCCAATCGAGCAGAAGACCTGTCAAATGGATAAGATGTCGCCTCTTTATAAATTCAGGCTCTTTAGTTTCCATCAATCTCTTTCAACATCTTTCAATTCTTCGCCAAATAACATTCTTGCTTGATGAGGATTATTCCTTCATTTGATATTGTTTGTTGATTCCACAGCGATTTTGAGTTTTAAAGAAAGAAATCCTCATATGTATAGAGTTTATATTAGGAGAAGGATATGCGTCAAATTTCTCCAATAACACAATCGCAGAATTTTATAATGCCGTTTCAAAGCGAGCGAAAATGTCGATGTCATGCAAGCGACTAGGTAGTTGTTTCCAAACCCCGTTCAACGTCAGCCCTCTACAGTTGCGGACCGCCCATTGGCCACTCGATTAGACTCTATTCGAACAATCACCAAAAGTTGATACCTATGAACATTTCTTTTTTTAATTTTCGCGACAGGAAACTCAAAAATGAAATGATGCTTCATTAGCTCTTGCAAATTGCCAACAGAATATTCCATTGACAATTTCCCACTTAGTGCTCCTTAAAAAACGGTTCCAGATCCTCGACCTGGCCGAAACATCACCGAACCACAACCGAACGCCGATAAAAACGACTCCATCATCAACCGATGATGCGATGGGAGAGGTTATTAGCGCTTATAAATACACAAAATTTCAATTTCCAACCGTGCGGGTTTTTGTTCCACCCCGTGGAAAAGCGCTCTCGCTGCTACTGGCTCCATTGTGCAGTTGGAGAGTCGGCGGTACAGCTACAATTGCCACACTGCCAACTGTCTGCCATACACACAAAAAGTGCATTCCACGCGCAATTTTCACATACGCAGCATCGCGAAGGGCGACGGCGATTTGCCGCTGGCGACAACAACATATCCTAACAAACGTTTATCCCCACCCCCACCTCTTCCGTTCCCCTCCCCTATGGCGTAGAGTTTAGGCAGGATGTTTCAAATTTGCAATTATAATTGATCGGTTCGTCCAGTTTAGGGGGCCTGGCCGAAAAAAGGACTCAGCGCACAACGCCCCTCCCTCCTCGGGCATATGTATGCATTATTTAGCGCCAAAACTATTATTCAACGCGACGCCGCGGCCGTCGTCACCGCGCGGTGCAATTAGCAAACGCATTAAGTACCTTTTTGTGATGCCGCGTTCCGTTTGTGTGGGTGCAAATAGCCGAAATGATTAGGTTTTCTTGCCTCCCGGGTTCTTGGTTCAGGAAAATGAACAAACACGCGCCGGGTTTCCAATAGCTCTTGTTTATTTTAAAATTTCTAAATAAAATATAAATATATTGTGTTGGTTAATAGCAATGATAAATTTTCAATAATTCAACTATACAAGAAATATTATCACGAAGACAAGCGACTCGTCCCCGCTAGCTCATCATTAGTAGATAGATTCCTCTCCTCATTGCAAATTCACTCGTTCTCGTGCCTATTCTCGCAATTAATTAAAACGTAACCTATTAGTACTTGTTTCTTTTCCAACTTAACCTATATCAAATCATCGTATTACGTGTTTTGTAAATAGGTTTATCAACACAGGCTTCCATCGACTCGATTCGCCCACTGTCACTCTACTAGAAGATGCAACAATAGTCTATTTCTTTATATGCACTTTGATAATATCGTATCGTGTAACGGTGTAACTGACTTTGGGTACATCTCTATAGACACTCATCTACCAAATCTATCCTACCCACATATTCCAGTTTAGCTTGGTAGAAGATAAACGCCATATATATTCTATTATATAGGAATACTTCCATCTATAAAGAAACGATGGTCGCCGCCATCGGATTACTGTTTGTCCAGAATGTGAAATATTAGCTCAACGATTATTTGCTGGTCCAGGTGGAGACTGTTGGCCTGCCGGTTCAGAGTACCGATCAGTTCATTATCCAAGGCGTTCATGTACAGCGGGCCCAACTTGTTGAACTGACTGCCAGCTTCGTAGGAAACCTAGGGTTAAACAAATACAAACTCACTGGTACAGATCGTGGCGACTAACAGTAGCGTTTTGTTGTACTTACATTTTCGGAGTCCAGCATTATTCGGAGACCGATTTTGAGGAATCCGTTGGATGCTAGCAGATCGAGGAAGGCGACCAGTGCCGTACATGCACTCTTGGCCACCTGTTCCGAAAGTTTCGACATGTTGATGGGATCGCCCGGGTGATTCGATTCTTCGTCTCCCTAAGATGTTGGAACATTATAGATCATCTATCGCAACTGATCACCGGAACAGGACGACTTACCTGGATGATGAAGACCTCGGTCCACCGGATTATGTGATTGGCATTGGAATAATCCGTTCCCCTGTGTACTCTTATGCTAGGCACTCCATTCAGTGGTTTCTTGTCGATCGGAGACAGGACCCTGTGAATGTAACCGAATATTAGAAACACGTCTCCAAAAACTTCTACCGTTCAACATACCCTATATTGAAGTTGAGATCATTCTCCGTCCATTCGATGCTCACAATTTCCTTCTGGCTATCTTCCCCTTCGACCGGTCCGCAAACGATCCTATAATCTTTCATATTCTTCAGCGCATCCTTGATGGTATTCATCTTAGCCGGTGGAACCTGAACCATCAATCCATCCTCAACGATGCTACACTTTCCAACCAGTCCGCTATTTGGCTTCAGTACTCCATTCAAAACCAAGAAGCTAGCTCCCGTCACTGCAATCGAACAAAAACTTCAAACTTCCCAAACCGTTCGACCACCAATTTCCAATTACCTTTCCGAGGCTGACCTTCAATGTTGATAGCTTGCGTCGAGTACTGCGCCGTCTCCGGACATCCGGAATCCGTATTCTGAATGCACACCAGATGGCCATCGGCTACCTTGCTAAAGTTCCCACCCAGAGCTAGGATCGTTTGATCGTTGGACCCGCTCAGTACCTTCATCACCTGTTCGTACCGATTGCGCGGTATCAAAATACTCGTCTTCCGATCCTCAATGTGAATCACCATCCCACGAATAGTCGGAATCGTGTACGAGTAGTTCCTGAAATCCGCCAGCAGCGTTATAATCGTCTGAGCGATTTCCACGTAAACCGAATCTCTCTCCCGTACGCTCACATGCGGACTGGGATAGTAGCGGTACAATGCTCCTAACCGCAGCATCAACCTCAGTGGCAACACTTTCGCCCACGGTACTTCCCATCGATGGATCAACACCCCCACCAGATAGGGTGCATCCGGAATTATCACATTCTGCATACACTGATAGGTTGGCCTCACGTACAGGAAACCACCGTGGTTCTTCGAGCCCAGGAAATTCGGCATCTTCGGCGGACTGAATCCCAGCTCGCCGACCGTACTGCCACGATCCGCATCCAGATAGATGTCGTTCAAATGTACAAAGATATCCTTCGGCAGCAGCTGCGAATCGCCCAGCTCCAGCAGGATGACTATCTCATCCTGACCGACGTAGTGCATCCCACGGGTGGTGAAATTGATCACAGTCTTGTTGATGCAGCAGCTCAGCTCCACGATCGTTACCTGTACGTGGAGGTTGCACTGCAGGGCGAAGGTTAGCGTTCCGTCGCGCAAACTCGCTATCAGGGCCGCATCGTTCTCGACGTCGATGTGTTTGGTCTCGGTTTTGGTAATCTGCTTCACGATCGGTGGCAGCTTGTTCTCGCCCGGCGGAATCAGCGACTGGATGGCGCTCGGGATGGCTGGCGGTTCCTCTGGAAAGAAGAAAGGTAAAGGTAAGGCACACTGTGAGTGAAGTCAACAGTGGGGTTATTGAGAATCGAACTATAGGAATTCATCTATTCATTGGAAGTGGATAAGGTTCAGCGAAGGCTCATCTGCTGATTAAGAAACCGTACAAATATAAATACAGTAGTGATCCGGGTTTTTGCCGACATAAAGGTGGTTCTGGATGTGTTTGTAGACCTTGGGAACTTTGATGAAGCTTCCGTAGGATGGTCTCTTGAACAGTCTGCAGGACAGCAAGAATGAACCTAACGGATTTTGAGATCGTGACTAACGACTTTGAAATGGATTAGGTACACTCCTCTAATCCCGGTGAACCCTGGGTTATGTCTGGAGGACTGCGAATATAAGTAAAATGCATTTAGACTGCAAGACCGAAGAACTCGTGTTGCCATTAAGCTGGGTTTAGATCAGGCAAGTCAAATGATCAACTCAGTTGAATTCAATTGGCTTGAAAAGTTGAGTCTGGTTCAACTTTTTTTTCAATTCAAGTGAGTTGATCAAGTCAGTTGAATGGCATGGTTTACACGTTCAATTCGCGTTCAAGTCAGTTGAATTCAACTGAGTTGATAATTTGACTTGCCTAGTCTAAACCCAGCTTTATGGTGTATTTTCAGGTTGGTATAAATACAGGGGTATTTCAGGTTTTTTAAGAGTGGACGGACACGCGTGACAGCTTAGTTGCGAGCGATGAGCTCAGCAGTGTTGGTGTTGGTAGAGATCGGTTAATCGCTAAGGATGTCCATGTTCCCAACATCTCACCTCAAAATACAGGTGGTATGGTGGTATCTATGGTGGTATGTTGTTGTATGTGGCACATGGCTTCTTGCAGAGAACGAGGGGACCACGAACGTGGACGTAGACATGTTGGATGACGGCACACGAGAACCCATGGCCGATTCCGGAGTAACCCACACTAGGCTCGGTGTAGCTGGTGTGGATAGTAAAATATGCGGTGATGTGAATGGGCCTACTGGCTATAGCTGATTTGCTTCTGCATGTTCCATCATCACGAAAAGAAGTCCATGAAAACACAAAGCTTGAAATGTCAAAAACTAACAACGAAACAGTCTAGATGCCAAACAAAATGTCTAGACCAAGAAATCCGTAAGCTCAAGTTTTCAAAAGGGCTGAAAACCTGTTTTCATAGTTGAAGAACTAATTTCCTTTATTTATTTGATGTGTAACTGACTGATTCTTAAGGGGGTATTCCCAATCTTTTGCCTTTTTTCGGCCTGTTTTTCAATTATTTTTTTTTCAAGGAAAATGAATAGTAATGCGCCTAACTCTTTGGGATTCTTGTTTATTGAACATTAAAGTTTACAAATAAATTTTTTTCGACATAAAAAAAGACATTATTGACGTCACAAAATGGCGGCAAACAGACCCCTGTTCGCCGCAAACGCCTGGACGGGCGAAGACTTTTCTCTGGAACGGCTTCATCTGAAACAGATTTCGTGATGAAATAATAATCTGCATAAGATTCTCTGGAGCTTCTCCCATTGGCAGCAAAAAATCTAGCAAATTAACAAAATGGCGGCCATATGAAAAAACAGGCGATTTTTAGCCCGCTTTTTTGCAGCTTTAAGGTGCTTCAAACAATGTTAAATGTTAATATTTTTGGCTGAAAGTGGGAGAAGCTCCAAAAAATTTAATAAGGAACAAAATGCGCAAAGATTCAAGTCCATATCTCTTATAGTTTCTGAGAAAAATCTTCGCCCGATAAAAAAAATGTGGTTTCGAGAAAAACGCGTTTAAAGTTTTGACTTTAGTTAAAACCATTTGGGGGTTCTTACCATTAGTCAGCTATGCCTGGACACCGAATTCGCTGATCGGAAAACGGCTTGTTGGGATGAAAGTATATAGTCTAAAGTACAAATAAACGTGAAAAAAAAAATTTGATTTTTTGAAAAAAAAGATCGGGAATACCCCCTTAACCGATAAAACTGACAACTCAGCTGTAGCAACTGGGTATCAGAATCGGATTACTACTGATTGATTAAAGGACGCTATACAAAGTCCTTTTCTGTGGCGTTCTCTTTGCTGTCAACAGCAGCAGACGATGGGTATCATAGTCATAGCATAGAGGTAACTCTAAGACCAGAAAGTCCCGAAGAAACGTGCTCAACTTTTTGGCTCAGCTCTGGTACTATCTTCGGTCCCAAGCTAATCGATTCACCCCTCGAAACATAGGAAAATTCACTAACCCCTCATTTTATCTGTCAAACTTTCATAGCGAATCAAAACAAACATAGTGTAGTACTGGAATTTATACCAGAATGGGGTACGTTAATCGATTTGCTTGGGACTAATAGGCTAGTCAAGTCGTGAGCCAATTTAAAATCGTTAGTTTCGTATTGATTGTTGGTCATAGTCTGTATACTCGGCAGCAATCATTGTGTGGTGCTTGCTCAGTCGATCCATTCGACTTTGGAAACAAACAGTTCGTGATGAGTTTGTAAGTGAAGACCACGATTTGCGTCCACTGCAATGGGAGCGCTATGTCCCCTTCGGCGATAATGCCTTAATTGGAAATCACTGGATGTGAATCCTGTTCTAATGAAAGAAATCGGAGAAGGTCGTGTTTTTCCGATTCGTCATTTGGCATGAAACTGTTCTGTTGGTCAATAGGACAGACTGCTGATTGAAATATAGTGCCATTTTTGAAAGGGTTTGGCGGAGGTTTATCAACCACATAGACAACACAGTAGACGTTATAGTGGTTCGATTGGCTGGCAGGCGTCATTCTTCGATTTTTGATAAATCGGCACGGCCCAAGACGATACCGGAGTGACCGTGACGAGAAGGACAGAGGCAGCCAATAAAAAAGGGTGAACGTTTTATAAAGCGGTACGAAGCCCTGCGAACCTTGGAACAAATCGGTCAAGTAAATTCAAATATCTGAACCGAGACAGTTCAACAACCCAGAGCCCCACAAGGGGAGGTTCCAATAAATTCAGGGTTGTTACAGAAATACCGTTGTTGAATCCGCAAAATTAACGCCACGACATGTGGTCATCCAGGATCCCAAATCCGCACCATAGAACAAACTTACAACTCAAATACCCACACAAAATTAGGAATACACTCAACAACAATTTTGGATACAGCCTTAAACTTTAATTATATCGAACTTCTAAGACTTATAGTCTAAGTAGTGGTACTTGAGAACTTGACACTGAGTAAGTTTATATGTAGTGGATGAAATAATCGTATCTGTAAGAAATTATTTGAACGGAATTAAAAGAAAATTACTTACCTAGGCCAAAAGCTCTTCAGCCTTAAACTATAAAAGAAATTCTGAGCTGAATTTCAAGGAGTGTAAGGAATTTTTAACCTTTTCGGGACGGATGGGTCATATATGCGTACTCTCAACTCTCACAAGTGATAGTTAGCGCCATACTATCTTCGGCAAAGTTGTATTTTCAGATGTCAATTATACAGTACACAAAGAAGTTAATAACCAAACATGACGACACAGATATTCAAAACCTTATGAATATTTTATGTTTGAGAACATGCACTTGATACTGAATAGGGGCGATACCCTTAGCAGCTAGACATGCATTGCCATGTTGATTAAGCTTTAATTCATAATTCAGCATAAGTTTACTCAACCGTAATATATTCTAGGGTCTTCAACTCGGTCTCCAAATGGTCTTTGAGTTCCGATAATTTGAACTACTGGATCAACCACGATGTCCTCAGCAATGATATATGTTCAATCAGATGCATACAGGATATGTGCACCATCCACGATTCATATTCATTTTCATTTTAATTTGGAGGTTGGATGTGGAGGTTTGTTGACGATATCTTCAGCGTAGTTAAACGGGAAGCCCTTCTACAAATTTAAGATGAGGACAGGACTTACAGGAAAACAACAAGCACCAAAAGAGTTATCCCCTATACTTCCAATCATTCGTTCCAGCAGAAAATGGCCGCCTTCCACCACATGATCCATCGGATGCAGACTCTTCCTCTCAGCGATACAGGAAAGGTTAAGGAATTACAGTACAACTTCGAAACAGCGAGACTCAACGGATACAAGAAGACCACAATCCAGGCAATCATCGATAAAAAAAGCGAGAAAATATGCCAACATCCAATGGGTGCTGAATTTGTGTTAGACCCAAAATCATCGAAATACCCTTTTATTTCAGTAATTTTTGCTCAATTCAAGGCTGCTTCAAGGCCAGAATTTTACATTCTTGAACTTTGCGAGATTTCTGACTTCAAGCTCTTGGACTAGAACAACATTTCAGTATTCCGACACTTCAAAACATTGGCTAGAGAATTAAGACGAGTATGCCAATTGAGTTGAGGAATTCTAGGCATAATTAGAAAGGGGGGAGGGGAATTTACAATAGAGTTTGGCTGGAAATTTCAGGTAATTTTGAGAAAATCTGCGTGCGCAAAGACCAGAAGGTCCCGAAGAAATGTGCTCAACTTTTTGGCTCAGCTCTGGTGCTATCTTCGGTCCCAAGCTAATCGATTCACCCCTCGAAACATAGGAAAATCCACGAACCCCTCATTTTATCTGTCAAACTTTCATAGCGAATCAAAACAAACATAGTGTAGCACTAGAATTTTGACTAGAATAGGGTACGCTTATAGATGTACTTGGGACCAAAAGACTAGTCAAGCAGTGAGGCAATTTAAAATCGTTAGTTTCCACCGGTTGGTACTATTTTCTTTAAATATTTCTAGATGAACATTTCAAATGGTCCTATCTGCTTTGATCGATTCTCCTAATCGACTTTCTCTTATGATAACCACTGCTATGCAAACAGATTTCGCGCTATTTTAAACACATAGTTTGATAAAGGAGGTTCCAATTTAGCGTGCAAAACGCCAAATACGACAGGAAAAGGTTTTGCAGCTGAGTTATTAAAGAAAGAGTCAATGAAGAGAATCAATCACTGCTGATAGGACCTTTTGAAATGTTTATCTAGAAATATTTAAAGAA